AAGGGGCAGCTGCCCCGGGGCCTGGCAAATTTAAAAAAGGGCCCAGCAGGGTTTTCAGCTACCCAGCAGCAGTTGGGAGCACTGAGCCCCTCAAATCACTGCTGCAGCCCCAGGACTCCTGCCTGCCAGCCATGGTACCAGAGGCCATGAAGGGCTGGCTGGAAGAGACCCCGCCCCTTCTGGGGACCCATAGCCTACCCCCTTGCCAAGGACTCCAGTGCGGAGCACACTGGTAGGCCTCCCTTTTACTTTCACCCCGGCTCTCTCACAAGATTCTGGATGCTGGTACTTCTGTTTCTGACTCAACTGGAAATACCACAGAGCAGCTTCTCCTAGCATTCCAGTCATCCCGCTGTTAGCCAGAACCTGGAAGACCAGAGGCGTCAGGAAATGAAAAATAAAGAAGTTCAAGGATTGTTTCCAGACCTCAAATAGGAGTTTTTTTCAACATCAGGATGAACTCACATGTCATCTCTTATTTCATACCAACCCTTTCATCCAGCCCTAATTAGAGTAGATCCACACAACTCCACAATCAGAGGACATTCCAGATCCAAACTTTAAGGCTCAGCTCCCACTTTAACCCTAATTACTACCCACAAACGATGTGCTATATGAATAGCTAATCTCTAACGAGAATACATGGGCCCTATCCTGAATTGCAGCAAAGGAGCACCCCACGCTAACTCCTAAAGATTTTAACATTTCCTATGACAAGTTCACCCTCTATTAAAAACAGGCTTTAGTGCTTTCTTGCATTTGCCTCCCATTTTCTAAGGGCTAAATATTAAAGCAGTAGCACCCTGCTTAGAAATTTCTCATCTCATTTTGCGAGGCGTTTGAAAGCAAGCTTCACAGTTCCTCCCTAAAAATCCACACGGTGACAGGGTGAGGTGTCAGAAGACCCCCTCCTGGGGTGCTGACTCCCCCGTCACGCAGACATCTCTGACTTTTAGAGAATCCCCCATCTGAATATGAGCTTTGCGGCTAAAATTGCAGCTACAGACTCCAGGTGGTCAAAAAACCCGTCTAACCTGCACAGTGTTGCCCTTGGTTGTGTCACCTTTTTGCGCTGGGCCCTTCCTGCCCAAATACAGCATCTCACCTTGCTCACACCCTGCAGTAAAAGGTCCGGCCACTGGACAGTGCGGTTGAATGAATGTTCCGGACTGTGCTGTGCTTGCTCATTCGCAGAGAGGGATGCTACTGCATGCGGACACGGTGACCCTCTCCCAATGGGATGTGCCGGAATGTCACCTCTATGCCTAAAGCACGGCTGGCTGGGAGCACAGCCGTCGGTTTTACAGAACGGCCTGCACAGAGGCCCTTGGGAACGTTTGCGTCGCTGCTAACATCGCAGCCTTTGAGGTAGGTCAGGCTCTATTTAAAACCCTAACATGCCTGTTACGTGCGCCCCACAGGCACGGAGTCGAATGCTTTTTAGAGTCTCTGTTGCCCAAGTAGGCTGAGTTCAGAAGAAACTTCTGGTTACTTCCTCCCGAAGCCCCGAGAACCAAGACACACACGAGATGCTTACTCCACGGGGAGGTGATGGTGCTTGGCAGCCTCAGAACCCCCCATGCCAGGACGATGTGCAAGAGCCTCTTCATGAAGAATGAACCCCAGAACCTCCTGGGTTCCAAACGCTGCAGTCACCGCTCCCCAAAGATGGCCAGCGGTAGAAAAGATGGGAGGGCAGAGAATGGGTTACTGGGCTTTTAACCTCTACGGCGTTTCTACACTGCAATGAAAAACCCAAGACTGGCCCACGCTGGCTGACCTGTAAGGCAGGAGGATCCCTGAGCTAGGGCTGTGGCCCCAGCTGCACAGTCACAATGCAATTTAAAACGCCTCACACGCTTGAGCCCCACAGCCGAGCATGTCTACTTGCAGTGTAGATTTACCTCCGCTGGGCTAGTTCACAGCTGAACACAGCTGGTCGAGACAGAGTGGTAAGCATTGGGTGGCCCTAGGGTGGCTTTACATGAAACCAGCTAGCCGTCCCAGCACAATTCCTCGGGAACACGTGTTCACAGAACTGAAAAGCCCTCTGGGAAAGTTCAAAACCTGACCCAGGAGCACAAGTCCAGCTGACTTTCAAGAGGGCGTCCGGTTAAGCCATTTAGGCGCTTTTGAAAATCTCAACCACCCCATCATGTTCAATCCCTTAGGGCAGAGGTTCTGAACCGGGGGTCCATGGACCCCCAAGGGGTATGTGAAGCCTTCTCAGGGGGTACGTGAGGTTCAAGTACAGGTAATTTATTGAATTTAGTTATAAAAAAAATGTTATTACCGAGAGGGGTACGAGATGTATTTAGCTGAGACCCAGGGGTACGTGTTCCGCAAAAGGTTCAGAACCGCTGCCTTAGGGTCTGTCTTCACCCCAGAGATATTAAGTCAGATGATCAGCACCTCTTAGCTCGGACATGAGCAGCCCTGCTGGCTGAGCCATGCCAAGTTACCTTGTCCTCACTGACACTGCGGGGGGGCACACCCCATGGTTCTTTGTGCCACTCCACAAATCTGTCCCAGTGAATTGTGGGGGAACTCATCTGTCCCTCAAGGGGCACAGAGGAATTGTGGGAAGGCACTGGTGGATGAGCAGCACTTGAGTGGTGTAGCCTGTGCCCTCCCTGCAAAGGGGGCAGGTTACCAGCGTGAGGTCAGGTCCACACTTAGGGAGAAAATTGACCTAAGATAATGCAACTCCACATACGTGAATAACTAGCTGGAGTTGATGCACCTTAGGCTGAAGTTCTGCAGCATCCCCACAGCAGGAGGTCGACAGGAGAAACTCTTCTGTCAACTTCCTTTACTCCCTGTGAGCTGGTGAAATACTGGAGCCAACGGGAGCAGGATCAGTGGTCGATTTAGCAGGTCTTCACTAGCCCCACTAAATCGAACCCTGGGAGATCTCCACCGCGTCAATCTCCCTGTAAGAGGAGACAAGCCCTGAGTGAGCATCTCACTCAGGTGTTAGCCTATAGCCCCGGCTGGGCCAGGTAGCCTGGGCTGACAGCACTAAGCATGGGTGAGAGGATCTTCTGTGCAAATAATGGTGTGGAGGTTGGTAGCAACACTTGAGGAATATCCCAAGTTAATGGCACAGTGAAGACCCACCCCAAGGTGGGTGTCTCTGCAGAAAAAACCCACCTTCCAAAAGCCCCGTTCCATCCTGATGATCCCGATTGGTTAAATCCAGCAGCCACTGCTCATGGCAAAAGCAAAGCTTCAGCAAAGCTCTCTGCACAGTATTGGTTTGCACACTCTCAATCCGCCCCTCCCTCCCCCCCATTCTGCTGCTGGGTCATCTCCTCTCAATAAAAAGCAGCGATTAATTCTTAAAGGGGCCCAAAGCCATTCTGTTTCTCTCCTGTCCAGAAAAAACACACCACACTCCAGCACTGCGTAATGAGAGGGTTGGCCTCCTCAGCCAGGTGCCGGCCTTTTATTGATTTGCTGCTGAACTACTGATTTCTGAAGCAGCTCCCTCCGCACTCCTGGCTGACTTAACGAGCCTCGTTCTAGAGCCTAGGGAAAAGGGAAGGGGAGATTCTGGACGCTGCTTTTCCTTTATGGAAAGGAGGATGAAGGCCTAGAGAAGACTTTGCGGCATACCCAGAAGGGAGGTGGGATGAAGCTGCTCTCCCATTGGATATGGGATCACACACCTGATTGAACCTGCTAATAATGAGCAACGGGCTAAGGCCAAGGGTTGGACAGTGGGAAAAGAGATGTTCTACTGTATTAACCCACAATTTAATTAATGTGGATGTTTAATGACTTAGGACAAAGTCAAATTTAAAAACCAGGCCAACTGGTCATGGTTACCCTCAAGTGGATCTCTAGGAATAACAACGACCAGCTAACACACTGGGGGGAATTTTTCACAATTCAGTCTCTGCTATTCACTATCAATGTAACCCCTCCGGCCCACCCCGCAATGACTTACCCAGCCTGGCCACAGAGCGGAGCAAAAGGCAGCAGAAATTGTCAAAGGAAAGTTGCAAATTCAACGGCAGACAATACATTAGAGTAAGTGTGCTGCAAATTACCTCCAGATCCCCCTTGGTAATGGACTCTTCCTCTACTCGGAATTGCAGGTCCTCCACTTTCCTGCAGGGATGGGGGAAAAAGGCCAAAATCAGTAATGCCAGGATTACACATTTATCATTAAGTAGCTGCCACAAAAGGCCTCTCAAAAAACAAAAGGATCACAGGAGGATCACAAAAGTGGGGTATGGATACACCATATATGCAAACCCCTCTGCAGAAGTGAAGCAGTCCCTGTAGAACTCTGGGAATGCGTTAATTAGCATAACTCATGCAAAACAGATACTTCTCTGTCTGTAATGTGCCATACCACACTCCTCCAGTGAGCAAGGCTGCTGTACTATACACCTCCATTTGGATACTGGCGTTTTACTGGAGGAGTTGGCTTTTGACCGTAATTCACTGGCCTCATGGGACCGAGCCAAGTTTCTAGGCCAGCTATTCACTGATGCATTTTGCAGGCAAGTGATGGGAAACTCCAGCGCCAAGAGCCGAAGGATTCATTGCCAGATATTCACAGACCATCAGGGCTTTTCCCTTCATGGGTGACGATGGGCAGCATTTCACACACGTTTCGGGAACAATGAACCAGGCTGGCAGAACAACTCATCGCAAGACACTAATGTTGTACAGCTTCCCACCCACCCCCAACACACAATTCCACAACAAAAATAAACCCCACTAATGATACAATTGCGAGTCAGTCTCCTTGGCAAATTCAGCCTTTTCAGCCTTCTTTGTTCTTCTATCAGATTCCTTTTAAACCAAGTTGTGCGAAGGATGTTGCCCTGGGAACTAGATGTAAGAACTCAGTGATTCTCCATCATGGACAAAAATAGCTCTGTATGTAAATATCAAACTTCAAAAATAAGCTTCCTTGTATAAACCTCTTCCAATTAGACGAGGCATCTGCTGTTGCTTAGGCAAGCGCTCAGCTGTTTCTGATTAAATAATCTCTTACTTCTTGTAGCATGGAGCAGGAGCTGGGAACGAGTCCTGCGCATGAGGGAACATCTTCAGATGGGGTGTCTTTCAAATAAAAAGTCACCATTTCCCTTTTAACCACCACAGACACAGCCCAGGGAAACATCTTGATCCTCTCACCACGAGCTGAAGGCTTTTTGTAAATGGAGTCTCCGGCTCACTTGGCTGACTACAGATTTTCTCTCTCGGCGCATTCAGCAACACGAGTCTCTTGTGCCGGCACGTGTCCTTGGAGGGCGCTGTCTGAAGGAGCTGAGATTTGGGGCACAGGGACAGGGACGCTACCGCGTGTTCGGTGGACAACTCCTCTTCCCACAGTTGCCTTTATGATTATCACCTCGCAAAGCAGGGTAGGAAAGAAATGTCTCCGGAGAAGGTTGGGTCCCATAACTAGGGTTATAGGGCTCAGATCAGGGATAGGCAATCATTTTTTGCCTGGGGCCACTTCGGAAATTTTTGAAGAGGCCCCGGGTTGTACAGGAAGGGGCGGGGCCAAGATATTTCCTCTGGGGGGGAAGGAGTGCCTTTGCCTCACCCCAAGTTCCCCCAAGGTGCCCATGCCCTTAGCGTAGGAGGAGACTTCCCTCGCTTCCCTGCCCCTAGGCCAATTAGGGCCTGGGAGTGGGGGAGCACGCAAAGCCTCCTCCGTTCTCCCCACCTCCCCTGCCAGCAGCGTGCTCCTAGCAGGGCACGAGGCGGCTTTGCGGGCTCCCCTGCCCGTAGGCCCTAACTGGCCTGGGGGAAGGGGAGCACCAGGGCCTCTGCGGGCCGGATCCACCCCCCTTGGCAGGCTGGATCCGGCCCGCGGAGGCCCTTTTGTCCACCCCTGGCTCAGACGCACCGCCTGCTGGGAGTGTCTCTACTTTCTGATGACAGAAGTTAACCGGGATATTTCAGAGAAAGGCTTTGCTGACTGCCCAGTTTTCCCAAAATGCATCAGTCTCACCCCTTTCAAGCATTAACGAGCGCACACTCGGTCAATGTCAGGGCACGATCCAAACGCGATTCAGGATTCGCTCTCCTTTCGGCCGTTGAGAATAACCCACCCTCGCGGCCCTGGAGAAAACAAAGGTACTGGCAACATAGTACAGCCTCCTGCTGTATCAATCTGTGCTTCCAAGGGTGCAGCCGGCTCAGGCTGCCCCTCCCCTTCCTGCAGCAGACAGCTCTCAAAGCCTGGCCGTATCAAGTTGCTATTAGAAATATTGGCAGAGTCTTGCCCTTTGTCTCTTGCCAAGCTAAGAAAGCAGAGGCCACGTGCGGCTCATTCTCAGTCACACTGACCGGACCCTGCCGTGCTAGAAGATCTGCCACTTCCAGATAACGCTGGAGCGGAAATGGTTGCTGCTGTTCCCTACCTGCTCTGTGTTCTTGGGGAGCCTGGGCAGAATACTCAGGGAGACTTACAAAAAGCAGCGAAAAGGCAGGGGAAGATCCATCTAGGCCCCTCCGGACTAGGGGGGCAGGATTAAGGAAACACCCCGAACCTCTTCTGCACTGAAGTTGGGCCAGGACGGCATCTCCATTGGCGCACACGCAGAATGGAGAAAAGCAATTCCACGGCAAGAACTGCACTGAACTCTGAGACATGGAAAGCAGGAAAGCACAGCCGGGTGAGAAATCTCTGCTCCGGATGCTACTGAACCCACCCAGCTCAGTCATCATCAGACCAGTTCTAATAATAAATCCTCTGTTTGTACCCAAAATCCTGGAACTGCCTCACTGAATCAGGAGCTCTCTTGAAGGAACGATCAGTTCTTATTGTCTAGCTCAGGGGTCTCCAAACTACGGCCCGGGGGCCGGATGCGGCCCGCGAGGCCCTCTCATCCGGCCCGTGGAGACCTTTTTGGATTCAAAGGCAGAAGAAGTGAGATTGTTTCAAAACCCATTTGAAGCAGATGTGGCCAGTTGCCCAGATGAACTGCAGCTGGAAGTCATTGAGTTGCAAGCAAATGACCTCCTTAGGGACAAGTTCAAAATAGGACTGGTGGGTTTTTACCAGTTTTTGCCCAAGGAAGACTTTCCTAATGTCAAAACTTTTGCATCAAGGTACCTTTCAATCTTTGGAACAACATACCTGTGTGAACAAACATTTTCAAGAATGAAATACGTGAAGAACAATTTGAGAACAAACTTGTCCGATGATAATCTCAGGTCACTGTTGATGTTAGGGACAACAAATCTAAAGCCAGAAATGTCTGCTATTTTGGCATCCAGGAAACAATTTCACCATTCACACTAATACAGGTGTTCATGTGTAGTGTATCAATGTGTTATTAAATAATAACTGAATAAAATAATATTAAATAAATAATTAAAAACAACATCCATGTTTTGATTGTTTTTTATTTGGACCTCAAGTGTGTAGTCGGCCCCCGAACTGCTGTTTGATAGTTAATGCGGCCCTCGGGCTGAAAAGTTTGGAGACCCCTGGCCTACATTAACCACCCTAGTTCGAACTAGGGAGAGGGTTGTGCATGGGAGAGGCTGCAGCACAAACCTGTTCCACAGTATCTCTCCCTTTGCGTATTTTCTTCGGTTTTGGATCTAGGTGAGGCAGCGAAGAAAAACAACTCGCAAAGGAGACTTTGAACTAGGGCTGGCTGGAAATCAAGAATTCCCTTTCCTGAAAAAGCTTTGAGGCTGTGACATTTGAACACCAGTCTGTGTCTCTCTCCAGAAATTCCTATAGAAAATCATCAAAATGTTTCAATTTAAAAAAAAAAAAATCAGAATTTTTCAATGAAAACATTAAAAAAAACCCTGCAGCCAGTGTTGTTTAGGGCCCATGATTCTTTGCAGGAATATAAACAAAGACTGTGAATGGCTTGCTAACTACAAAAGCAGCTTCTTCTCTTTCAGAATTCACACCTCCAGATCAGCTACTAGAAGTGGGCCTCATCCTCCTTGATTGGATCCACCTCGTCATCTCCAGCCTGATCCTGGCCTGCATATTTATACCTGCCTCTGGAAATTTCCACTACATGCATCTGACAAAGTGGGTCTTTGCTCACGAAAGCTTATGCTCCTACACTGCAGTTAGTCTATAAGGTGCCACAGGACTCCTCGCCACTTACGAGGACTTCAATTTCTCCCGCCTGATTGTGCTGGGGACTCTGTTCAGCCGGTCTCCAACACTCTGCCCCACCCCGCCACGTGGGAACCCCAAACTTTCCTTCACAGACTAGTGAGATCCCTCTCGCTCGGTACAGCCTCCCGACTCTGACTTATGTGCTGGGTTATGGTTTGCTAGCCTGAACTTTTGTAATCAGATTTAAGCTAGACTTAATATTGTAACTGGTTTGCTGGTTTGGTTCCCCTTATATGGTGACTACCTAGAAATAAATAACTTTCATGGCTAAGCTGCTTGCCCCCCTCCCTCTCGGAGGGAGAAGGGATTGTTTTTGGCTCCCCCATTCACTCTGCAACAACGCTGCTTGTACCCAAGCTAAAGACCCCCCTGTGGCCCCCGAATCTTGTGAAGTTTGCTCATCAAGTGGGATACTAACAGAATGGTCGTGGCGTGAAA